CAAAACCCCCCCCCCCCCCAACCCCTTGCCGCCGCCACAACAAATGAATCACCCAAGATCTCCACCAACCACCACCTTAATTTTTGCATCGTTGTCACCTTAAATAGCCACCATCACAGATCTATGTGTTACCACCACCCCCTTTGCATAGCTGCCACCATCTGAGCCACCGCCAACACCTCTTATACCACCATTGCCGCTGTCACCATCTTTTACCACAACCTATTCTTCCTCCACCTTGCTGCCACCACCCCTTTTGCAACCGCAGGTAACGCGAAGAAATTACAAATATTCACTTTTGAGGAAAAATATGTATTTTTGAACACATTGTAGATGGGGTATTTTTTAACTTTCTGAAGAAAAGTAGGAAAGTTTTGATGATATCCCTAAAACAAATATGTCCCTACCACCAGCAACAGTCAAGCTTTTATATTGGACCGCCACATATCACGGCCATGCCTGTGCTGGGCCAGGACAAATTACCCCTCTAAACAAGTAATTCATCATTATTTGGCAAGGGGAGGAAAAAAAAACTGCTGTCTGTGCTATAGAACAGCTGTAATAATTACGGATCAAATAAATTAAGCTGAGCATTACTCAAGAACAAGGAGTATGATGTCAAGTGTCTCCAATTTGGATAAAGGGCCCACAAAAAATAAATATAAACAAAATTTCAAAAAGGTAGATCCACTGAATGACAAATGTGAGTTCTAAAAGTAAGACTTTGAGAGGAGTTACTTTCTCTGCTTCTCAAACAAAAAGGATCCATCAACCATGCATATTATCTAAAAGCCCAGCACCTCTTAGCACGCAGTCACTCATAATTTTTCGACATTTTAAGTATAATCACTGAAAAAAGTGGCAACTTATTTTTACTTGTTCAAACAAGGTTTAAGATGAGAAATTTCCATACATGATTAGAAGAAACGGCAAAAATGCGAATCAAAATATTTATTTTCAGATCAATTAAAAGTGATTATTTCTAATAGAAAACCATGATCAAGACGAAAATTAACCAATTCACTTAAATTTAAAGATTCGCAAACACCAAGGACGTCTGAAAACCATAGATCTCCAAAATCCATGCCTAAATCAAATCTGAAAACCAAAACAACATAGAAGGCAGATAACCCGTTCAATATCTAGGTAATGCAACAGATAAAAACACAAAAACTAAGTTGTAGACATATTCACAGCATTTCTTTAAAACTCTAACATGCATGGATATACATAGTACAATATATCTATTAGAACAAAAATGTAAAACGAAAATGGAAGAATAGCATCAACCTTGCAAGCAGTCACAATTTTCCGCCTCTTTCCGCACAACATCAAGAACGGCATCAATCAACTCAGCGCCTTCCGTATAATGCCCCTTTGCCCAATTATTTCCCGCCCCAGACTGCCCAAAAACAAAATTATCCGGCCGGAAGATCTGCCCATACGGGCCAGATCTGATGGAATCCATTGTCCCAGGCTCGAGATCCATTAGAACAGCCCGCGGAACATACCTTCCGCCTGAGGCCTCATTGTAATACACATTGATCCTCTCCAACTGAAGATCGAACGAACCGTCACCAGACTCACCCTTGTACCTACCTGTCGGATCAATCCCGTGCTCATCACAGATTACTTCCCAGAATTTCGACCCAATTTGGTTCCCGCATTGGCCTCCCTGAATGTGCAAGATTTCTCTCATTTTGAGTGTGTTTTTGTGGGTTTTGGTTGTTTGTGAATAATATTGATATTTGTATGGGCAGTTATTGGAAATGTTAACAGCAAGCAAGAATCATGGGAGGGAGATATTTGAAGAGGCCCGCAATTCTCTCCAATTCGTACAGTTTTTAAGTTGTTTGATCCTTCAATGATTTTTGTAACAAAAGTCGTTGGGAGAAACTGGAGAGAATTGTGTGCGGGGTGTGCCTGAGAGAAATTGGAGACATCGCGTGGTCTATCGGTTGGTGCATGCGCGCGTTTTGGCGCTTTGAACCCTCTATCCAATCCACTGCGCCAAACGGCGGAGCACGTCTGCCCACGATTAGATAAAATATGTTTTTATCAAAACTTACAATAAGCCCGTATGGTTTCATTCTTTTCTCATTAAAATAAAAAATATGATCGTTATCTATCACATCAAGTCATTAAATTTGAATTATGTAGAATTCGTAATGGCTATATTTTTCATTCTCATTCTCATTTTCATTCTCCCAGAAATGAGAAATAAACAGGGGCTAAATATTTATGTTTCATTTTGGGGGAAAAAAATATAATAATAAAATAAAATTTTGGGGAAAGATATATTGTGAAGCACAAAAACTGTTTTTAAATTATTGATCTAGATGTTGTCAATATATAGTTTGTCAATCTATTTTGTACAAATAGCATGATTCTATTTCAAAATAGTAATTTTTTGAGTGAATTGTCCAAAAAGCCACTGAATTTTGCAAAAAGTTTTCAAGGGGTTATTGAATTTTAAAAATCACCTAAATGGTCACTGAACTTTATAAAAGGTTTATACAAGATCACTGAACTTTAAAAATCACCTAAATGGTCATTGAACTTTGCGAAAAATTTTCACGATATTACTAAATTTAGTGACTCCGTGAAAATTTTTTGCAAAATTCAGTGACCATTTAAGTAATTTTTAAAATTTAGTGACTCCTTGAAAATTTTTTATAAAGTTCAGTGATCATTTGGACAATTCACTTGTAATTTATTTTTTTTGAAAAATGTATGATTAACCAAAAAAAAATGAATTTATGTTACATATTACTTTATTAGAGAATATGTAATTGAAAAGAAGAGAAAAAATACATTTTGAATAAAATGGAGCTCGAACATGAACTTACTTTATCATCAAAATTAGGCCTAACTGACAATCATTATTTGAAAATCATTTTTTTTTTCAATATATTCATTTTCAATCATATATTAATACAATAAAGTATTTTCCACATAAATTCGCAAATTTCCTACTTTTTAGTTACCCATTCTTCTAAAAATCAATATTCAAAACATTGTTTTTTACAAATAATGATCATGCTTAATGAAGTGGATTGTTCATAGTTCGTAGGGACTAAAATTGCAAAATTTTCCATCATGTCCTTGCCGCCTTGCCTAGCTCCGAATGAGGCAGGAAATCACGAATCTATTTATTTTACCAACCATGCTTGTTGTACAGCATGGTGTACAGCCCCCTCACACATGAGGGGGCCCACCATTCATAGTTCGTAGGGACATTGATTGCAAAATTTCCCATCATGTCCTTGCCGCCTTGCCTAGCTCCGAATGAGGCAGGAAATCATGAATCTATTTATTTTACCAACCATGCTTGTTGTACACCATTCTACATTCACACGAGGAGGCCCACCATTGTGTGAGAGGACTGTACAAGCATGGTATACAACCACCATAATCCTAATTTTACTATGAGCCTGTTTGATCCTTAACTTTAAGCTAAGAATGCATTTCATAACAATAGATTGATCAAAAATGTACAATCAAAAAATAAGAAAAAAATTTAGACTGAAGTGCAATATCATTTTATTGAATAATGTATGATTAAAAAGAAGAGAGTAAAAAATATATTTTAAAAATACCATGAATCAAACAATCCTATGTTCTGTTTCATTTTCATATTCTCTAATTTGAATTAAATTCCTGTATGGTAGCCTAACCATATGAGTGCTATAGATGATCCCAACCTCAGATAGTGATGTTTGGCTAAGCTTATAATTACTTATGTGATAAAATAACAATCTTAACTCAAAATGAGTACGTTTTCCTTGCAAAAAAGAAGCAACTCGACTATTTTTTAACAATTTGTCAACATCAACGTACACCAAAGCTAGGATTGACTTCTCATTTTGAACCCCAAGCAAATGACACTTCAATAATTTAAATTCAGGAAGCACTGTTCTTAAAACAATCAGGAGCACAATTTTTTGCTTACTTGACAAAGAAAAGCCTTCGTTTTCTTTTCCTCTCTACAGAAAATACACACATCTAATACGTACAACAAATCTCAAATACATGTGAAGAATCAATCAGATATGCAGATAAATGCATTTCATGGAGGATTCTTCTAAGGTTGAAACCTTCCCTATCGCAGCAGAACCATACTCTCATTGCAGAACTTCTTGAAGTTCAAGCATTCATCCACTAGAAAATCACTGTCGTAGAACAAAAATATTATGTGTGGACCACGAGATTGTGAAATCTTTTGATGAAAAAACGAGGTAGTACTTACTAGATCCTCCCAGCCATTTCTGAGATTTCCCATCTGGGACTCCACGGATAATCGGTCAAAATAGGTGACTTCACTGGTGCACCATGGGAAATAAAATGCTACATCCATACATAGTAATTTCATTATATATCTGTTTAACCACAGGGATTGACATTGACTGGGTTTATCAGGAAACTGTTTCGCAAAATAACTAAGGTTCATAGCTACTACAGTTTTGCAGAGTGAGAGATTGAGTGATGGTGCTTCCTACCATCTTAATCACAAACTGATATGAAACGATGGGACCACAACATATTACTGATTTAAGCATAAAAAGTGAGGCAACTAAGTTTCAAAAGAAATAATTTTTTATTGGTCAAAGTTGGATATGAGCAAGTTGCTCAGTTTGACAATATCTGAACATATTTAGAAATAAAAAGTAAGAGTTTTACTTGTTTTTGAACTTGGCCAAACATGCTCTTGACATATATAATGAGCCTTGTAAAGGTGTTACCATCCTAATTAGAAAGAAAGATAATTCACCTGTGAACTCTGGAGTATCAAAGTTGGTTTCTGCTTTGGAAATTGAAGAGGAATGGAAATATGCACCTAAAAAAAATGCTCTGAGTAAGAGTTAAAGGTAATAAAATGACAAAAACAAGGAACAGGACACCCTGGAAAACAATGGTTTCCAAAGAAGAGAACGATCAACATACAAAAGAAGAGTAACTAAATAGTATGAGAATAGCTACCTAATCTTGACAATTATTTATCACTTAAGAGAATCCTCAATGACAATAGAAAAGGCAAGTCATACCAATGAGAATGTTCTTCCATTATCAAAGTCTCATGCAGGCAATTTTTTTGGCACACGAAGTAAAATAGACAGTCAAACATCAGGTTTGCCATTCCTTTTCTTTATTCCTTTTTTTTTTAAATAATAATAATAATAATATTTTGATTTCTTTATTAATTTATTTACTTTCTATTTTTATTTATATATTTTATATATGGTGGGGTTTATGGGGGAGATACGGTCTGGCTAACCAACTGAAGAACATTTCAAATACCTAAAGCTGAACACTTAGAAAAATACGAACATTGGAAAGAATATTTTGAAATATGGAAAATAGATACAAATTAAAGTTTAATATCTAAACAAACAGGGACATAGTTGCCATCCTGGTGCAGTACACCAGATCTATATTTCCTGGTGACAAATCAACAAAATTTTTGAAAAAATATTCTCTGCAGTATTTCCTGCCATAGAAAGTGTTCTTTCAAACCATGAATGAATTAACATCCATATAAGGATCCAGGTAAAGATGATCCCTCGTTAACTTGCTATGAATTGTTCTCCAACTACTACAAAAAAAAAAAAAATTGTAGATGATTAAACACCAAAGAAGGTCACTTTATACCATTAATCCATGATTGGTAAGCAGTATTAAATGAATAAGATTTTAGCCTCTCTTTCTCTTCTTAGTGTCCAGGCTATCTAATCCTTCCTTGCTATTGATGTTTTACCTTGAAATAGGATAACTTCCCATGGAACTCCCAGGTAACAAAATAATAAGTTAAACCTTACTCCAATAAACTATTAGTCAGGTATACACATTCATTTTTGCCACTCCATCGATCTAGTTCTATTCTACTTTAAACTCCCAGACAAACGGCAAGAGATCCAGTACATAAATGTTGTTAACAAGCGTCAATGTCGTCTCGTCCCCCAACTCACTAATTCTCTACAACAATCTCATCTTCAAACCATCAACATAAACATGCCAACCTTTTGATCGCATCCTTGATCAAGAAATTTACACTTCTGTAGATATCAGGCAGAAAATGGCAACTTTTGATTCAACGTTTCATGGTGAGAGAAGAGGGAAATTTTTGGAGGTGTAAAGGTAACTCAGTAAGACTTAAAATTTATATGATTAAGCTAGGAACAAGAAAAGTTGCTTAAACATAATTCAAATGCACAACTCTGAACAGAGAAGCAGAACAAGACTAAAAGGAAGTAAATAAAAACTTAATTTACAAAAGTTATTGAGCCATTTCCATGTTATCCAAAATATTATCCATTGGGCAACACTTTCATTAGATGCAATAAATATGTGAAAGCAAAGATACATGAAGTGCTCAAGAATGTCCTACTAGAAAAGTGAACACCCCAGAATTAGCCAAGAAAGTCGCCTTTCTGCAGAAGACCTGGAAATTAGAGCAAGGGATTAGCATCTCTCTTTATCAACCAATATAGCAATTAGCAGTCAATTATTTGAAGTTAATGAAGCCAAACCGGATCAGCTTCCAATGGTCTTCCAAACAGAGGCTCCAAAACCATTATAAACTTTCTTCTTACTTCGATTGATGAGACTGCATCTATAATCTGTCGAGAAACAATAGAAAATATTACAGTAAAAAGTGGGACCAATCAATCCAATGAGCGTTATTGTGGTTATAATTTACTTAGAAGACAAAATCATGTCAAGTTGAAAGATAAACTTTTTATAGAATGCGGCAAACCTGTGCTTGCAGCATCTCCTCTAAAGTTGGAAGATATTCAGCCATGCACCTGTAGAGGGAAAAGGAAAGGCAAATTTGAGACTTGACAACAAAAAAGACTGAACCTTCAGAAAGGAGACAGTCAAGAGTATATTGAAAAGATTTACAGTAAGAGATCACAAACTTACATCCCCTCTAACCAAGGAGGAAGTTTAAAATCATCAATAGAAAATAGAGCTTTCAATTCAGTGGGAGACACCAATTTCAAGCGTGGGGCTGAAGGTGACCTTTTACCAACTGGAAATATAACCTACAGGCATATTTAATTTGGTGAAACAATAAGTTTAAAAATGACCCATTGATACTTTTGAAAGGCTTGAGGTGAAAATGGTGGATTATCACAAAGTAACACTAAAACAATTGTTTCTGGAGTTTATATTTCAATTGTTTAGTAAATGAGAACATATTATTTAAGCGGTGGAGAATTTCAATTTATTTTAAGTGATGGAGAGTAGGATTTGAATTTATTCAAAAGATGTCTCACAACAAGTACTAATAAAACTCTTTGCAAACAACCAAAATATGTGATGGGGTATTGTAAGCAACAAAGTGGCCTTTCCACCACAATCTATAAAGATTCAGCCCTTTCTCACTCCGAATTCAAAAGGCAAATAAAAAATGTTACTAATAAAACCTTTTCCCTGATATACAGAACAGAATTATTAGGTCCTTTTCAATTGATTGTGGAAATCATAGCTTCCTGATACCAGGTAAATTGGATTGTTTACACTGATATCCTACAACATCATGCATGTGTGTGTGCAGCAGGGGGAGCCTTTATCAACTGAATGCAGAGAACAAGTAAAGATGACCAGTAAAGAAGGACACAAAAAGTGAGGTGACGCAAACACATGATATTAGTCTTTTCATCTACTTATAATTTAATCTATATTTAAAGGGCCAAAAGGTCCAGAACCTTCAGACAAACTAACCTGTAAGTATATCTTTTGCGGACGTTTCCAGGTGGACCCAGGAACCAATTTATTTATATCCATCTCCAATAAAGGTACTGCAAATCTGACCTCTTCTGACTACACAACAATTAATGGCACAGCGACCACCAAGAGAGTTAACTTACATAGAAACATACAACAGTGGTCCATGGCATGATGAAAAATTGTCGGTCATCCTAAATTACCTTGTCAATGCCTGAACTCGTACACATTTCAATTCCCTGAGAAAATACGAAGAACTTCAAACAGTTTTCTAGGCCTCATGCAAAATTCAAGTCAACAAGAGAAGCATTTTCTTTGAAGTCAAAAATTATGAAAAGACACATACATCCAAAACGCAAAAACGAGGACTGAGGTGCATATAACATGCAAGCATCCAAGGGTCAATTCTAGTTGCATATATTCCTACCAAAGTAAATGGAGAGAGAAACTTCAACATATATGATGTCAACCATAAGTGAAATAAGGCCCATGTAAACTAGATCGTATCTCCCTGCATGGGTTTAGACCTACTTGCACCTCCTAACACGCATTTCACAGAACATGGGAAACCAAAAACTAATTATCAACTGATTGAGATCAAGCTCTAAAGATAAACACATATAACTCCTCAAACAAAAGAGGTATATGATTCTTTCATCAACCTACTGATCTCAACACACAACCAAACATTGTAAAAAAAACTTATATATAAAGGTCCCACTTTTTTGCTCGATTCGAACTTCTAAAATATTTGAAAGATGAAATTTTATGCTGAAAACAGGGCATGCAAAATTGACATTAATTATGTATGACAACTTCAATAATTTACACTACCAAATAACAATCAAAGTAACATCTCTGATGCCTAAATACAAGACCAGTTGTATGCACAATCTATCGTTACAATATCAGGCTGTATGCATTATCATATTGTCTGTATTGTAACTATTCAATCTTCACATTGCCAAGTTTCTCATCAGCATTGAATGATGGAAGTGTTGTGTAAGAATTCCAAATTGCATTTTTAGCACACCTTAGTATAAGCCTCAAATGATAGAGAAAGAGTTAAATAAAACTACACTCGAGCAAGAAAGGGATCACCTTACACACCTGGAAATGCAAAGAAAATGCACAACGCTCAAGCTTTTTTAATCCAGAGATGGAAACTCATTTAACACTAACCTCTCTTGAAAGCATAGTGCTGAGTTCGAACTTCAATCTATCATCATCAACATCTCCAACACGTTTCTTCTGGTATGTCGTGTATGCATCCCTTGAATACATAATGAATCAAAGACCCCAAAACTCACAACGCAGTAAAGTTTTCCATGTTATACAGAAATTATATTGTAAAAAACCCTAACCTGAGCTCAATAATAAGACGCAACAGCCGACTGGGGTCCTTGCTGTTCCAATCAGCCAAACCATTTTTAGAAGATTTTGAGTCCACAGCTTCGTTGAGCCCATTATACGGCGAAAAACTTTCATCTTCAGGCCCAAATATTATATCCGGAGCCGCCAATGGATATACAGCGTTGTATATCACATCCCCTACATTTCAGTTTCCCGATAACAGTAAACAATTAAAAATTTCAACCACAACAAAAACATTAAAGAACACAATCTGTAAATTATTCTGACATTTGATATAGTCAAGGCAAAAGGGGATGACTAAAGTGAATCGATCAAGCAGGCTAGGGTTTTTGCAGCCAGACCACATTTGATCCACCTGCAACATCATATTTATTAAACAAAATTAGCAATCCTCCTATCCAAAATAACCTTGAGTTTATGACAGTGTTCGCGAATACATGTACATGATTTCAAGAGGTGATGAGCATCTACCTTGATGGGAAAAGAGGAGTGGTTGATGAGATAATTTAGCTGTGCAGCGATGAGCGGCGGTACGGTGTCGATCGCCATAGTTGCTGTGTTTTGGGGGATTACTAAAACACTGTTAAAGTGTAGAAAACTACCAATCTGGAGTATATATTTGGGGGCAAAAGGAGGGAAGTATTCGGCCTCCGGGTTATAATATATTCACGGGCTTTAGAATAATTAAGATCCACTTTCCCTGTAATTAAAGTAATCCAAAATGATTAGAAAAAAAAAATTGCAATTAGCTCATTTCATCGAGCTAGTCGGGGGCAATTTTCAATTATAATTTCAAACGTTAGGAAAGATTCTACATCCCGTTTTGAAGTGCTTAAGAAGCACTTTGTCTTTGTAATGCAAAATCATTCCACAATGAGGTCGTAATAACGAGATAAAAATGATTGCACAAAAATAAATTTAATAAATCTAATTCATGCCAATCACCTCTTATGGCTTATTTTCGTGCAATATTTCTCAATCATCGGGTAAGTTATTGGTATCATTGTAAAGATTAAAAGGTTAATTATAAAGATATGTTTGAATTCCTTTTTTGTCGGTCCAAATTATAGATCACTTTTTAGGTTTCTAATGTCTTTATTTAATGTACTTTGTTATCAACAAATATAAATTAATCATATTTAAACAATTATTTAATGTAGGGTTATAATAGGGGGAAAAAACTATATTTTCAATTATATTAATTACATTTTCTTAATTTGTGTCAAAATGGAAACAATCCTATTTTTTTGAAACAAAAGTTCCAGTCGGCACAACTAAATGGTATCCCTTTGCGGTTAATGAACGTGATCGATCAGTTGATTCAATAATTTTTTCTGCTACATTACAAAAGTGAAAAAGAGAGAAAAAAAAATAATAATAATAATAAAATCATCGCAGATTGCTTTTGCCTTGCAGAAATATGATCCATAACTAACACAGACGCCATTGAGCTAGAAAATGTTCTGAAACACGAGCTACATGATCCCTTACTCCCGAATTGATTCAAAAACCGACTGGGAACCATCGAGGAGGAAACTTTAATGCCATTTACAACATGACAAGTAAATGTTCTAGTCCAGATTCCAAACCTGCAATCGTTAAGTGGAAGAAAATGATCGAACACCAAATGCTAAAAAGACTAGCCATTTGCAATTAAGCCTAATCACAATTAGGATCACACTAATAAACAGAAAGAAATACGAAGCCAAGAAAAGTGCACACTGGTTTATACTAGGCACACTCCAATCCTAACTTCGTAATGTTGTTGTCAAATTCTCAAAAGAATAGTGTATTACCTGGAGTTTTCCATCAGAGGATCCAGCAAAAAGCCTCTGTCCTTCAAAGTCTGTAGCCAAGGACAAAACTTTTGCATTTCCCACACATCCCGTTTTAATGTAAGCAATCTTGGTCACCCTTTCTTTTAACCACACTTCTATTATTCCACACTTTGTAGACGTAAATAGGAAGTCACTGTTTACAGCCATCCGTTGAATGTCAAAACCAGTTGACAATGATCCTATAACCGCCTTGCTGGAGAGTGAGAATACCTTACGCGTGCGAGTTATTATAGTCGGGGAAAAGTTAGTTCATTCAGAAATTGATTGCGAGTTTTGGCAATAAAAATGAGATAACTAGGAGTTCATACCTTGCCTGCTATACCATCAACTAGTGAACCACCAGCAAATAAAAGGCCGTTGTAAATTTGTAAAGAGTATATTGTTTGTTTCCCTAGCAATTTTTTTGCACCAGAACAGAATGTAGTTGAAGCAAGATTTCTTAAATCCACCTCCTGTCATCAATTTCCAAATTCTCAGTACAGTAAAGATTATTTTAAGCATCTATTTCCACTATTATCAACATATTCCCTTCAAAAACTATGTGCATTAGCAGAATACCTGGCAAAGGGAAACTAAGAGCATGTTTGGCTATTGACATTTTTAAAAAAGAGAGGTAATAGCACTTGTTAATAACTACTGCTTCAAGTTGGATACGTTACTTTTTCTTGCCTTCTAAAAAATAAGAATAAAATAAAAATGTTAATTTGACAAGTAACTTTTACCGTATTATTAATAGAGTAAATTGCATGTATTCAATTTTGACCATTAAATAATATATATATATATTTTTTTTAACACTTAAAAGTAAACTTTTCAAGTTAACCAAACATTCTCATAGAATGCAACATTTTTGTGGCGGTTAAGATTAATTTCTTCTCACCATATAATATGTGTTACCTGGATACTATAACCAGAGCAACCGCAGTAGAGTTTATCATCTGTCAAGGCTAGGCACTTAACATTTTTGTTGAAGTTAACATGTTTTGGAGCTCCTGACCAATTATAGACCTGCAAGATTTTGATGTTTACAATATCAGAATTTTATCGACGTCCAAGTTATCAAGAGAGTTTAGAGTACCAACCTTAACTCCAGTTCCTTGAGATGAAAAGCATGCGACTTTGTCATTAGCTATCAACTCGTGGACTATCTCTTTTACATCATGAACTCGAATGCAATGGATTTCCTCTTGTTTGATTGACCATACCTATCGATTAAGGTCAATGCAAAAGAATGAGAAGAAAATTACAAGAAACCACTTACTGAGAAGAAAATTACAAGAAACCACTTACTGAGAAGAAAATTACAAGAAACCACTTACTGAGAAGAAAATTACAAGAAACCACTTACTGAGAAGAAAATTACAAGAAACCACTTACTGAGAAGAAAATTACAAGAAACCACTTACTGAGAAGAAAATTACAAGAAACCACTTACTGAGAAGAAAATTACAAGAAACCACTTACTTTGCCTTGAAGTAGATAAATACTAGCATGTAGGATGATGCATCACAATATACATTTATGGCATGTTTGCGAGGGAGGATTAGATAGTTTTGGACAGTATGAAAATAAGCTAAAATCTTGTTTGTTGTACTGTGTATCCCCATCTAGTATTGTGTCAAGCAAGCATTTAGAGGGATTCAGTGAGCCTTTTGCAAATCTTCGAGCTATCATCAGTTTTGTTCCGTTTATGGATACATTCCTTTTGACTTGTAAACATGGTTGAATATTTATATATCGCAGAAGTATAAAATGTGGACTTACTCGGATAGTTTTGTCCAAAGATCCACTGTACAATTTGTCACATGGAGGAGGAACATAAAGGCATGTGACAGCTTTTGAGTGTTCACGAACTTCCTGAATCAATCGGGGAACTCTCCTTCTGGCATCCCACACCTGAATAGAGGGGGGAAAGTCTTGAAGATAAATTAGGAAAGAAGTCTCCAGTAGATGTAAAGATTAGATAGCACCTAGTATACAAGTAACAAGTACTAGAGAGTTGTGAATCGTGGTCAATAATATTCTCGTGTCCGTACTTTTATGGTTCCATCAGAATGGCTGCTTATCAAGCGGCTTCTTATAGGAACCATTGAGAGAACTTCGCCATTCATGGACACATCTAACTCCGGGCCTTCAGTGCAGGACCACAACTCTGCCTGCATTTTATCCAATTAAAGTTACACAAATATGCTTTTCCTTGAAATGCAATAAAGATTTAAGAATGTATACACCACACTCACAGCATCAACACATGGTAAGTTCATCAAAGCTTTCAATATATCACTGGCTGCTGTGGAACTCTTCTTAAGCTTCCTTAAGATTTTCCAAATAGATTTGGTATACACCCCAACTTCATTGAGTCCATCTTATAACGTGGACCATAAACGTTAGTTTCTAACCGAAAAAATGCACAACTATCAGCTCAAGGAACCAAATGTACCTGGTTCGCTAACAAATCCTCTCAAAGCAAGGGCTGCCAAAATCTTCTCCTCCAAGTTCCTTGATGACTGTAGCACATTGATGAACTTATCAAGCAAGGATTTACGAGCAGTTTCCCTGACACCACAATCAGGAAAACTGTAGAGCATGTGCACAAGCCAGGTGGCCACAAGAACGCAAGATTTTGCTATCTCTACCGAATTGCTCTTAAAACATTCCTCTAGAGCTTTAAAAATCGCCCCTTTCTCATGGTTAGAAAGCACAAAGGCTACTCTTTTTTCCCAAGACCTTGCTGCTTTCTCTTCTTCTTTCTATTCACATGAATTCAAAAGTTAAAATACATGCGGAAAACAAATAAAGCTTTTAACAATCAATTCAAGTGTCAGTAAGTAGGCCTAGATACCTTTACCTAGCTTAAATGGACTTCACAATAAATAGGGGGAAAAAGTTGTTAACAATTAATAAAAAACCCGAAACTACAGAACTCTATACCGTGTTATCAGTAACTTCTGTTTCGTTTCTTTTAATTTCTTCCCCTTTCATCAAGGCATTATAGGGTTGATCAAACCCTGCTGTCTTTAGCAACAAAGCTTCCATGCAGGACTTCCCTGAGGTACTCAAATGCCCCGAAATAGATGATAGGGCATGTAGAGACATAACTTGAGAAGATGGGAAGTCTCTTCTCTGAAGTGCTTCTAGCAGTGCTTCCATGGCTTCTTCCCTGTAGATGCTCATCTTCCGAGGAACGACCTAATGAAACAAAAAATTAACCAAATCACATGGTATAGAGGGGACATGTGGTCTTTTAGTAACATTCATGATGATGAAGAATACTAACCAACAGATCAAGCTGGAGAAGAAGGGTGGCAACGGCAGGTTTCTGCTTCATTGGAGACATTTGTAAATAGACTAGAAGTGCATGCATTGTATTAAATGCCCCTTCATCTTTAATTATCTGCAGAATATGGTTGCTCAATGTTCTACTGCGTGACAGAGAAATGAGTGTGCTTATTATTAGTATTACTGAAATAGGAAGAACTGTAAAATTTATAAAAAAAGAAAAAAGAAAAAATGGTTTCATGATTCACATTAATATTCTTATTCTTGTATATTTCGCAACAGTAGTTGAGAACAAGCTCAAAGATTTGTTGCTGTGCAATATCTATAGGATAAACCAAAGACAAATTTTTAAAGATTTATATCATGTAAATGGGAGCCAACAAAATTCAAACCTGACAGGTCTGGTCCCTGACCCACTTCAAAACTAAAGCTCATAATTTCTCAAAGCCATGCAGATATTATTACACAAAAGGAGGGTCCACCGATCGACATGTCAAGAATACTTCTCACTACAGTGAAACAATAAACCAAGTCAAAGGTCTAGAGAAAAGAGCTTTAATTAGGAAAATGAGCCTTGATCAGACCAAAGGCCCAAGCTAAAGCTATTGAGCTTGCATCACTTCAGGGTTAGCATGTAAGTGTTATGCCCTAGATCCAATCGATTTAGGTTGTAAACACTTTTAATATGTTTAATGTATTTAAGTTTGGCAAGATCTACTATTTATTTAAATTAATTTTGTGATAAATAATTTTAAATAATAGAGTCCAAAGATCCAAGTTTAAGTAATTTGTTAATCACGAGGAGTTGTGATTGTGAGATACAAATTACGTATGATTGAGTCTTGAATAATCCGTGGCCGTAAGTAATAACGAGATACGGATATCGTTATTACAGGTAGACCATCACGTGTGACATTTCTTACTTGTGAAGTAAGTAGCTGATCTCACGAGTTAAAGTGTGGTGATACTTAAATGAACACGTGGATGTTTTATTATAGAACAAAACATTGGAGACCCGTTAAGAAATTCCACATGGATAACTATCTGAGTGTCAGTGGTTAATCTCTAACGTTCGGTAATGGAATTGGTCCTATGACTTGAGGTCATCATAGTGCCTTGTATGAGAACAGTCATGCTTTGACGGTATTGGATGTTGCTCTACCAAGGGCCGCTAATACTGTATCGTTCGGGTATGTCAAGAACCATATAAAGATTGTGAATGACCAATAGAGGATTCGTCACTCTTAGATAGTAAGAGATTGTGATCTGCATTTCGTTCAATTAAATCAATAACGAAATTCTTGGCCAAAGTATACACATAGCCCCTGTTTGGCCCCCATTAAATTACTTTCCATTACATTCTATTTTTCTTTTTCCTATTTTCAACCACACAATCTTTTATAAAATAATATTACACGTAAATAAAAAAAAAATTCCTTCTTTTTCAACCACTCATTTTTTCAACAAAACACTATTCCTCCTATTTTCATTATCAAAAATGAGGGTCAAACAGGGGCATAAGTCGAAAATGAGTTTTCAACTAATATTGATTTAATAGTAGAATGAAAGATATGATCGATAATCGAGATTGACACACTTTCATATCTCATAATTGATCAGATCATATTGACGAAGGGATTATAGTTTCATGGTAAA